GTGCCATTGCAAAATCTGCACAGTTAAAATCTGTTTTCTTTAATAATCAGCGATCTCCACTGGCTGAGTGATATCTGATAAAAAGTGGGTCTTAGATTGTACAAGAAGCACTGCATTACATTACCCCATTATATTCCCCCGCCATGTCTTTAAAATATCAACATTTATTTTACCCAAGCATATTCAACGGAGCTTCTGCTCTAGCCTGCTGATTCTGACGGACATGTGCGAGTAAACGGCTTTTTGTCTCGTTTTACGGTTGAGCGACTAAGTGATTGACAAAGTCTTTTTAACTGATTGTATTGTAATTACATTAAAACATCGATGGTGTAAAAGGAACCGTGTAAAATGGGAAAAACACACATTAACCATTCACCGGAAGTTTATCAGCATGGAAAGAAACACTAGATCTGCATATCCTCTATTCTAGGATGTTCTAGGAACAGGCACTGTATGTTTTTTTTTTGGTAACCAATAACTAACCTTTCCTTTTTTGTAATACCTAAAGTGAACCTAAAAGAGAATGTTCTACTGGGGCTGGGTAATATGGCAAAAATGCAGTCTCGATAATTATTTTCCATATTGAACGATAACGATATATATTTCAATGTAAGTTATTAATGCTTCCAGATTTAAAAGAGTACCACAGCAATGACTGAAGACAGAAAAAATAGAGGGTCCACTAAATGGCATTTTCAGTGGCTGAAAATTCAGCGCATCTCTAATGTCAACAACACACTTTTAGATTTCTATTGTTGCACCTTTCGGCTGAGTGATTGGGTCTTAGATCAATATGGAGTAAAAATCCAGAGCTTATCATTGTTTTTAACATAAATTTCATCACAATTCGATATTATATCTAATTCACCTGTACCGCATGTCTTTGGATTCATGGGGAAACCAAAGCACCCGGAGGAAACCCATGCAAACATGCCAACTCCACACAGAAATGCCAACTGACCCAGCCAGGGCTCGAAGCAGCGGCCTTCTTGCTGTGAGGCGATCGTGCTACTCACTGCACCCCCATAATGCCCAACTAACCAACATACTGGGAACAAACATTTTTTTTTTTTAGCTGGGATGCAACAACGACTAAAACATAAAATAAAGATAAAAGATTGTTTTTGAAAATACATGCGAGAACAGGACATGACAGCCTGATATTCTTCCGAACCGCATTATAGCATTTCAACATTTCAAACTCAAACATGGGTTCTCAGAAGCACATCTGTTTCTGAGATGTGTGAAACTCACACTTGGTCCTACACAGTTATTACTCTTCCACACAGGGACAAGAAGAGCTGTAATCTTCAAGACTCTAATAACGGAGCAACACGAGATTCCCATGCTTCAGCTGAGCCTTCTCAAGTGACGACCACTCTAAAACAGCTGTTTACCCAAACCAGCTAACCTAGTAGAGAGAATGGAAACAGCCCTGTTAAACATGTTCGTTTACCATTTTCAGTCTCAGACTTTTCATGTAGCATAGAGTTGATTCCTACCGCCACCTAGTGGTGATTTAACACAGCACGTTCGTTTTCCCATTGGAAATTTTTAAAATAAGATTTAAACCTGTAAACGGAACAAAATCCTTTCTGAATGATCCTCAACCAAGCTTTAGTGGATTTAGAATTTTTGGGGGGGTTATTTTTCATCTGGAAAGTTCAAAGACACCTTGCTTCAGTCTCCACTTCTGCTAAATCAAGCATCCGTATAACATCTGCTGATCCATGGGTCCACAAAACTAATGAATACATAAAACTTGCTTCCAGAACTTTTCAAAGGTCTTTCCAAATCATTCATTCATTAATTTTCCTTTGGCTTAGTCCCATATTTATCGTGTTGCCACAGCGGAATGAACCGCCAACTATTCCAACATGTTTTACGCAGGATGCCCTCCCACCCGTAACTCAGTACTGGGATACACCCTCACACAATCTCAATCATACGCACACCTACACACTATGACCAATTTAGTTCATCCAATTCACCTATAGCGACTTCTGAGCATTCGGAGTAAATCCACCTGAACATGGGAAGAACATGTAAACTCCACACAGAAGCTATAACTCGTCCAGCCGGGATTCGAACCAGCGACCTTCTTGCTGTGAGGTGGCAGTGCTAACCACTCAATCAGTTTCTGCATTTACTGGTAATGTGGTCAACACAGTGATGTTCAGCAAGATTCTGTTTTCTGCATTAAAATGTGTTTTCAGAAGGTTATCTTGCAAATCCCGGCCAACTGAGGGCAAACAAATCATTCCCCTTGATAACATCCTCCAAGGTTTTCTGGTAAAAAAAAACATCAAGCTCAGGAATGAAGCTGTCAGATGTGTCTCTAAGAACTGTCTATCTGTGGCCATTGACCTTCAAAGATAATCAAGCAACCTTTTTTATAGCTTTTATGAGACATGTTCAACAAATGCATACAGTGTAACAGCTCAAGCTAATTTAAAGGGGACCTAATGCAACCCTTTTTACAACGTGTAAAATAAGTCCCTAATGTTTCTAGAGTGTGTATGTGAAGTTTTAGCTCAAAACACTCCACAAATATATTTTTTATAACTCATTGAAACTACCTCATTTATTACTTTGATGCAAATTGTGCTGTTTTTGGTGACTGTCACTTTAAATTCAAATGAGATTGTGCTCTTTTCACAAGAGAGCGGAGCTACAAATGCCTGTGGCTCTGCATAGCAGCAGATTCAAAACAGGACTTATGTTATCTCTTTGAAAAGCAAAACAAGTCAAAAGAAGTGTCTCAGAAGAAGGCAGTCTATGGAAACCACAGGGTTCATTTGTGCATCTTAAAACTCCACTTTTATAATGCTTCTATAGCTCCCGGTCACACTGCACTTTTCGCCCCATGGACTGCAATTCATGCAAATGCAGCAGACATGCGTGACAAGTTTTGCAGTTCGCTGCATTGTAAAGTTCAAGCTTGGTGAACTCTACCCTGTGAAATTGCATCAAATGACTGCGTGAGACCAGTCGAAGATCAAAACATGACCTCTCTGGACAGAAATGAAAATATGGACCAATCACTTACATTTTTAATGTTGAATCATCTTGTTTAATCCCGCTCATTTTTGCAGCGTTGTACAACAGAATTTCCCATGCACAGCCTCCAGTGTGACCGTAGCATTAAGCTGCAGTCACCCTGGGCTTTTCCTCCCATAGACTTCTATTCATACGCACGCGAATGCATCAGACCGGAAATGCAGAGTCATGCGTCAAGTTTTGCAGGTTGCTGCAGTTCAAAAATCAAGCTTGGTAAACTTTGACCTGCGAAATTGCATCACTAGACTGCGTGAGACCAATCGAGGATCTAAACGTGACCTCTCTGCTCCATATTTTAAATTTCTGTCCAAATCGCTCACTTTTTAAGTGTCTAATCATCTTGTTTAATCCCGCTCCTTTTCGCAGAGCTGTACGACAGAATTTCGCAAACTCAAACTCTGGTGTGATCACAGCTTTAGTTGCTGACATCATCCTCAGCAGGTGAAAACTAATAGCAGACGGCTGCTTCTCACTCAGAGTCTGTTTATCCTAATGAGGGAGAGATTTTCACTAATGGGCAGGGCTTTTGCCCTCAAATAACACGCACAATGGGAGAATGTCAATCAAAGTGTTTCTGCAGATTGTTCTTGAAGTGTGATTGAAAAAAAATACAATTTTCACCATTAGATGCTGACTATATTAACACACTTTTTGCCACATAATTGTTTTAATTATGTGGTTTTTGCATAACAGATCTCAATTAAGAATTGTTAATGTTTGCAAAAGCTTAACTGTTTTAACACAATTTCGCACTATGCCACACAAAACATAACACACAAAAATTATATAATTTAAAAGTATTACTAAGTGACAGTGACTTTAAATTTTCTACTACAGAAACAAGTGGAATTTTTCAACGAAAAAAAAAAAAAAAAAACCTCTTCAGAAAAAATAGATGTTTCATGATGCATCACCATCTCATGATGCAGACCAGACTCAATTACTCTGCTTGTACAACAGTTACCACACCTAAAAACACTGTTCAGATGTTGCATTTCAAGACATTTGTTAGATTTTTGTCCTCAAACTTCTTCTGAGTGCAACTCATCTAGTCAGCTATATTCTTTTGATAAGATTTTTGTCTGTCTGCAGCTGCGAAATAACAAAATAATTCAGTGTAATGATAATGAACTGTAATGCAGTCATAACCTGCCTGGAAATACTTAAAGTCATGCATTTAACTGACAATAACCGATCAGAATTGAGCAACAGTCCAGTAGTATAAAACGAGAAAATAAAGTTTGTTGACAAACTTTACGGTGACTTGAGAAAGTTTGTAGTATGAATTAACATTTTGCTAATATGATTAGTATGTTTCCAGCATGGATTGGTATGTTGTTAGCATGTTGCTAGTATGGATTGATATGTTGTTATAATATCCAATGTAAAGTTAATAGTAGTTTTATATAATGGATGTCTATGGGACAACTGTCATAGCAACTGGGTGCTGCAATTGTTGTCATGGCAACAAGGGTGCTGTAAGTGGTTGCTAGGGTGTGGCTTGTAAGCTGAAACGTCATCAGTGACTGGCAGATTGGTAGTCTGAGTTAAATGACCCCAACATTTGTATGACAGTCTGGCGCAAAGTTATGAGGTCACAAAGTTTCGTCTAATATTAGGTGAATGAGACTTCCAAATTTTTTGGGTCAGTTTTTGGAAACCCAAAATCAGATCAGTTGGAAAAGATATAGCAACTTAATTCCGTACAGTTTGAAGGATTGGAGTTAGTTTAATGGTTGTAGTATGAACAGTCTAGGAGAAGATGCGTTCTTAAAATAGTCTAAGAAGATGAAATAATAAGTTTATGTAGTACAACAGCATGTTGGCTTTCTCAAGCCACCATGATGATTACAAATGGGCACATTCAAACCAATTCTAAAAACAAGGCGTTAGGTAATTAGTAAGCCATTCCTCGTCACTAGAAAAGACACCAACAGAAAGACATGTAAATACTGTTTTATTGTAAGAAATGGACTTCAGTTAAAAATGTGGAATTCTTTAACAGCCTGCAAGTACAAAAAAACAGGGAGAGAGACAGTTTGGTCGTGGCGCGGGGGCCCACAATGTACTGAGTACCTTCGCTACAGATTGTTCTTAAAGGCCACAGAGCATTGAAAGACAGGAAGGAATGGTGAATCACTGCATTTCACAGATATTACCTGCTTCCAAACTACTTCCTTCCACATTTTTATTTGGATCCACCTCATGCCAATATTTAGCTGTCCGGCTTATGTGAAATCACAATGAACTTTTTGTCCAAAAAAATAAAATAATAATAATGCAAACTCAGAGATGCGAGTGTCACTTGTTTTCTTATTATCTCCTATTTAGAACAGATCCAGCACTGTTAAATCCACTCGAGTGCAGCAGTGTTTCCAATCCAATCAACCCAAAACAACCAACAAAAGAGGCTTTTCAGCACAAACAGGCAGGTTCTTAAGGGTCAAGGTATTTGATAGCACCAATAAAACTCTGATTGCCGGTTTTGCATGTGCTATTGACGTAGATCAAACGCAACATTGAGAACTACACACAGAAAAAGTCATAGCAATAGAGAATGACCAGTGCAGATGAAAACAATGAAGCTACACATCAGAGAAAGTTGGCACAGTGATCCCGAATCAAAATCTTTTCACCAATCTCCTAAAAGCGACAAATGAAGTGAGCGATCAAACACAGGGCATCCAACTCAAAACGCAAGAAGAAAAGATTTCATCTAAAAAGCTCCTTTAGTCGATATTTTTAGTGTTCTGCTTTAAGAACGTCAGCTTGACATGGCTATTTGGGGAATGGATTTCAAAGAGTGCAATATTTTCTTTTAAATAACTCACGTTTTTATCTAGTGTACTTGTGAAAATTTGGGTCTGACAATATTCTGCTGCTACTACTTCTGAACTTAATTACAAAAGAAACTAAAGAAAAAAAAACTCTCAACGTTAACTTGAATTACAAACATTTGCCAGTAGAGACGATGCGGATGAAAGGATAGAAAAACGCATTAAATATAAGGCAGTAAAAACAGGTAGAAAACGGGCAGTGTTTGTCTTGTTAACTCAAATTTTGGCCTCGAGTCCACCAACGTAGTTCATACAGATAATTCTTTAAAACGAAAATAAAATTATAATAAAATATTTTTACCCGCGCAACTGTGGTTCTACAATACGCTGCGCTCTGTAGACCAAAGAGCACGACTGAGTGTTAGTACATGCGCCGACTTGAAAAACGACGCTCAACTACATCCAAAAAACAAAGAAAAGACAAACGTCAGACTGGGTCCACTCCCTCCAGACAGTCTGTATAAGGCACAGTCACTGAGGATAGACTGGAGCGGTGGTGACTGCTACCTGCCTTACGCCAAAGCAACCACCAAAACCATGAGTGGAAACTAGGAGGTCAGAGGGGTTTGGCGATGAACTAAACGCACGTTTGGTCATTCCGTCCCTCAGTTTTTGTGTCAGTAACGTACAAATAAGACGTGATCACAGATATGTACCACAGCAGTGAGGGGAGAGACGCCACTAGAAATCACTACAGACGATGTGTTTCGGAGACATTTAAAATAAGATAAATACATTTGCAGGTGTCTGAAGTTGCTGAAAGAGGAAAGCAAAGTTAGATTGTATATTACAAGAGATGAAACGCTCTCTTTCCTTGGGAGCGGAACAGGAGTATCGTGGCAGCCAGAGGTCTGAGGGCTTTAAAAACAGCATGATGTGTGTCTATGCATGCTTTAGCAGATGCGATGGGACTCGATATGGAGTTTGTTCGGAAAAGTCCAAACGCGTAACGTAATGTGTGGATAGGGGAGGTAAGTGACTGTGTGGACAGGGCAGGAATGGAGGGTGTGAGAGGAGGGTAAAACTGCAGCGAGACACGAGCATTAGAACTCCTCCTGGTCCTCTGACTCAGCGTCTGGTATGACAAACCCCTCCTGAGAGAGAGCGAATGAGAAACAAACAGAGACAGAGAGAGAGAGTGAGTCATCTGATAACACAAGCCCTGTCATTTAAAACTTGTTTAAATAATCTTTTCTTCTAGACTATATTTTGGGGTAAAATAAATTTATGTGAATATGTTATCAAAAGTGTCAAAATTTTCAATGCATACTAATTCATTAAATGATTTAGAGTTTAATGAGTATCTGCAACATATTTCATCACATATCATCCTTTATAGTTGGGCTGCACAATTAGTTAAAATGAAATAGAGGATCAGCAAAAGTTACAAATGTCATGCGTATTAGGGCTCGGCTATTAATCGAAAAGTAATTAAAATCGACATTCAGAACCTATAATCGATCTAATTCTTTCAGGTACATTTTTTCTATTACTTACCGCATGTGTAGTCACGTGATCCCATTCTGTTAAGGGTAATTTAAACTTCTGCATCAACGCACGAGTGATGCGCAGTCACAAACCTGCACACCTCTCAAAAAAATGTAACTACTAGTCGCACGTTTGCACTACACTGAAGATGAATGGAAGCTGCACTAAAGATGCCTTAATATGAGGGCTGCTCGATTTTGGGAAAAATCATAATCATGATTATTTTGGTCATATTTGTAATCACGATTATTTCAAACAATTATCAGTTGATGTCAAAATTATTAGCGCTTCTAAGATTAAAAAAAATAAATAAATAAATTTTCCCAAATTATGTTTAACAGAGCAAGGAATTTTAACAGTATTTCCTATAATATTTTTTCTTCTTGGCTTATTTGTTTTATTGTAGCTAGAATAAAAGCAGGTTTAAATATTTTGAAACCCATTTTAAGGTCAATATTATTAGCCCCCTTAAGCAATATATTTTTTGATTGTCTGCAGAAGAAACTACTGTTATACAATGACTTGTCTAATTACTCTAATTAAGCCTTTGAATTGCCTTTAATCTTAATGCTTGTATTTTGAAAAATATCTAGAAAAATATTATGTACTGTCATCATAGCAAAGATAAAAGAAATCAGTAATTAGAAAAGAGATATTAAAACTATGTTCAGAAATAAGTTTAAAAAAATTACTTTCAGTGGCGGAGTGGATAGTGCTGTCGCCTCACAGCAAGAAGGTTGCTGGTTCGAACCTCGGCTCAGTTGGCGTTTCTGTGTGGAGTTTGCATGTTCTCCCTGCCTTCGCGTGGGTTTCCTCCGGGTGCTCCGGTTTCCCCCACAGTTCAAAGACATGCGGTACAGGTGAATTGGGTAGGCTAAATTGTCCGTAGTGTACGAGTGTGTGAATGTGTGTGTGTGTGGATATTTCCCAGAGATGGGTTGCGGCTGGAAGGGCATCCGATGCGTAAAAACTTGCTGGATAAGTTGGCGGTTTATTCCGCTGTGGCGACCCCGGATTAATAAAGGGACTAAGCCGACAAGAAATGAATAAACAGAAATTGGGGAGGAAAAGGGTTGCTAATATTCAGGAGGGCTAATAATTCTGACTTCAACTGTATACATACAGTTATTTTACAATACAATAAATTTATACAACAGAATAAAAATATGAAACCAACTGTGCTTTAAGCATCTTCACTGTAAGAAAAACACTTTAGCTACAAAAATCCTTCAGTCAAGAGCAGAGAGGGATTTTCACGTTTTGTTTGATTAATGATAAAAACAGGCGGCAGCAGGAATATTTCGTGCTGTCTCTTGAATGGTTTCTCTTTCGCGTGTTTTTTTATTCTCAACTTGTTTGTTTATTACACAAATTAAGGTTAATATGAATAATCACTAAACACCGCGTTTTGACACCTATTTGACCATTAAAGCACTCACGTTAAGATGACTTTAGATGTCTGCGTTCCTCTGCTCATTGTGCAAATGAGACCGAATGCTGACCGGCCGCAGCTTCTCACTGTGCATGCGTGCCACACACACACAAAAGCACACGGTCTTTCGCACTTTTAAGAGCAACGCATGGTTACAGCTGGAAAGGGGGCGGTATATGATGCAATAATTGTTTATCTCGAATAATGCTTTTTCATAATCGTTTAAAGCCAAAATCGAAATCCGATTTTCGATTAATTGCACAGCCCTACTTGATATGGCATATTTTCTATTACAGTACAACTATTATTTACATTAAAATATTTGTTTACAGAAGATGCTAGAAATGCACTGTTTAAAATATTATTTACAGGATATACAAGTTATTTTATTTAGAAAGATGCTGCTTATTTTTTTACCTTTAATATGAAAAACACTAAAAATTTTATTTGAGATTTATTTTTTAAGATATATTTTGTTTCCAAAAGTTGGTTTCAGGCAATGTGTGTTTTAAATTCCGTTATTCATCAGTAGTGTGTTTTCTTCCATTATCTTAGAGTCAAGTAGTGCCTTCATGGAAAAATCTCTCACTTGTAATATGTGAGCATTTTTACTGTACAAAACTTAAGTGAACAATGAGGGAAAAAACTAAATAAATAAATAAAATAATCGTTTATTAATTGTAATCGAGTTAAAATGTTCATTTAATCAAGAATATTACTTTAGGACAAATCACCCAGCCCTAATGCATATCTTGTAAGAGAAGCACGGTTCTGTAATCAACAGTAAATTTCCTGCAAAGGCACTGAAAACATCCCACAATGAGACATAGGAAATCAATCAGAGCAGAGGATTTAACTGCTTTCACTGATTCAGCATGACAAACAAACACACAGCTACAAAATCATTTCTATTCATCTTTATACGAGTACTTAATACAAGTTTTACAAGTAAAAGCATGTTCTTAAATATGGTGAATGTGGCCAACAGCTGTCAAATCACAGAATGATTATCTTTAATTTTAGGCTCACAACAATAAAAACGCCAGTGATTTTTCTGTATAGCGAAACAGTAAATTATGGCTCTGTTTAGTTAATACTGGTACGTAAAATTAGGTGCTGGAAATTTACAGCTGATTAAAGAGTCAGCTTTACTGCCAAATGTGCAAGAAAAACCGCTTTGATTAATTGTGCAGCCCTACTTTATAGTCCATTAAATTTTTTGATGATTTTTTGATAGTCCATTAAATTTTTTGATGATAATAGTATATATATATATATATATATATATATATATATATAAGGTAATTTTCCATCAAGTTATTAGAGCAGCTTACTGTAGTATTGGTAACCTAGTAACCAACCGTAAACAAAACAAGTAATGGGACTTTTATCACATGCACAATAACACAGGATGATGGAAGCCCAAATACTGACTAAAGCCTTCCTCACACTGTAAGATCAAATATAGTTTCATGCACTTCTGATTGAAATTTGATATTTAGCATGTGCGAATGGCGAAATTTAGGAATTCACACATGGTGAAAAATGCTATTCAAATCACTCTTCAGGAGTGAAGATAACACCATTGTCACAGAAAACAATGCAGAAATTCTGTACAAAATAGTATCACAGGGTACACAAGCTATTGTGCTCACACTACACAAACCATGATAAGTAAAGGCCAATGCAGGACTTCTGGTAAGGACCCCAGGGTCGCATCCCAAATCTTTACAAGAAGCGCCATGTGATTTTTACCGATCACAGAGAGTCAGCACCTTAGTTTTACATGTCATCATTTTACATGTGGGCATTACTGTACTGTATGTAAAATGTGGACGCTCAAGGATTAGTGTGAGCACCATCTGCTGGTCTAGTTTTCCCAGGTCTTCCATCCAGGTACTGCCCAGGCTAAACCCTGCATAGCTTAAGTGGGCAACCAGTATTGGGCTATATAATTATATAGCTGTGACTTTTTGAACAGGTACAATATATTTTCAGTTTTCTATATTCAGTGTGTTGGCATTGAATTATTTGTCAGATACCAATCAGACAGATTGAGATTCTGTGTGAGATGATATTGTGGTAAAACAGCATCTCAAGAGTTTGTCCTAATAATAGAAGCTCACTCATGACATAAATTAATCACGGCTTTGGTATGTTTAAGGCATGCTTATAAAAGGGAATCCGTTTCATGTAAGATTCATTACTATGACATGTTATACTTACATCTGTGGCATAGAGAATATCCACAATCCTCTGCAGGGTTGGGTCTCCTTCACCCTCCTTCTCTTGACAGATCAGCTCAATGTTCCTCAGTTTGCCAAAGTAAAAGTCCCGCTCCTTCTCCATATCTTGGATCGTAGACTTCAAGATGTTTAACTGAAAGTCACCACACATGCATTTTAGTTGTGGAATATGACCTAACACAGAAACAGAATGATGCGAGTGTGTATACGGTGTAACAAACCTCTTGAATTAGCTCTGCTCTTTCCTCATCGCCACCAGCACCAGGTCTCCGTGCAGAGCCAGGCACCATCTTGGGTGTTACCTTGGCAACGGCCGCCCTCTGTGGTGCTGTTGGGATCAAGCAACTAGTAGTAAGAGACTGACAACTGAGTGTGAAACATATAGGGAACATCAGGCAGTGGTTAATAATGTTCTAACCATACAGCAGAACATTACAGGATCTTAAAAAATGAGCGTAGATAAAATTATTATTTTTTAATTTGTAAGGTAGAAAGCTGACTTGATCAGCAAGAAATCGTCCCTTCAGTCATGGTGACGTCAAGCATCATGCCATTTAGTTTTTTATTAAATATTTATTTTAATTCAGAAATATCTGATTTGGGAAGTAAATTAGGTTTTAAACATGATTTCTTGCTGACTTTACACCTGTCTACTAGCATTTTGTTACAACCAACAGTCTACAATCACAGCAGTCTCATCAAGTTTATCCTTCAATGAACAGTTTCAGTCTAGAACTTTCCATGTGGGTCAGTTAGTCGTTTAATATTGTAATTAAAAATAATTTGAACTTTCAATTCACTCTGACCCAACAAAATCAACAATCCACAGCAATCATGTTGCAGGTGTATTTCTTAACTGACACCTCTCATTGTCTACACCAGGGGTTTTCAACCTGTTGGGAATTTGAGGCGTGCACCCGATTAAATTATGATAAACATTTTTATGCGTTCACTACAGTGAATCTGATTAACATTAATTCCACAGCTGACTATCAGGCACCTGTAGAGTTTATCGAGTAAAATACAAATAAAATGGACCGGGTGTTTTTATTTTAATCTTTTTAATTAATGACAGTGAATGAAAGTACAACTGGTGAGCAGTCTGACAAAAAAAGTGCCCTGCTCATTTGATCCAGAAGGATGCCCTTCTAGATCTTTCACTTTATTTAAAAACACTACTGACTACGTTTACAAGGACATTGGTAATTGAGTTATTTGCCCTTATCTGAATAAGACAACAATATAATTTAAGTGTTTACGTGAAGTGCTACTTGAATGTTGTGTCCCCAGGTTTTCCACGTTTCCTGCAGTTTCATGTAACTTTGGGTGTTTCATCTTAAATTTTTTTTACTTTAACTGCAGTTCGGTAGTTTCACTTTCACTCATGAACATTTCATTCATGCCCCAGGACAAACTGGGGTATTGGACGCGAGCAATGGAGTAAGGACTGGTTAAAGAGTGCTGTTTTAATAGAATTAAATACTGCATGCTGAATGGAAAGAAAAAAACTTCCGCATTTCACAATGTGTGTGTTTGCAGACCTTTACTGACAACCATATGTCTGGATCTTGTTGCAAAATGCAAAGTCCTACATGACGGTAATAGTTTGATAGTAGTGTTTACTTTAATAATACCACTAATACATACATACTCCACATGTATTCATTCAATTTCTGTCTAGTTTGATTATGACTTCAGTCAAATTAAGGTAATCAAAAATAAATAAATTAAAAATAATAAATAAAAAACATTGATTTTTACATGGTAGACTCTTTATCAGAGTACTGACTAAATCATATTAAAATCAATTGAGGTAAAGATGGATTTAAATTCGCACATTCTTTCAGTGACAACTTGTGACATGCTTCCTATAGGGTTTACAATGCTTCCTATAGGGTTTACAACAGTCTAAAATCGCATGTAAATGACTCTAAAACAATATTAGCACTATTTATTTGACTGTGAACAATGTTGTACTTTGATAGCCATCGGCTGCTATTGTGATTTCGCTTTTTAATAAAAAATTTAACAAATCAGTAGAGACAGAGATGTTTCAGAAGAAACATGGCCAGACTGAAACTGTTCTATTAACTAAAAAGCAAACAGGAGATTCAAAGTGTTCCAGCATCAGAATCCCCTGCAGACACTCAAGACATATCAAAGCCCAAGAGCCCATCACACAGCTTCATACCGATTTCAACTGCTGGTTTGGTTGTCCTAACAGGGGGAGGCTGATGGACTGCAGTACACCAATGAACAGACATTTTTGAGAAAATTAAAACAAGAGCAAAAACAGAATGATCAAGTCTCTAAATGTGTCCAATAAAGAAATTAATGTAACTGAAAATAAACATAATACAATGCCTAATGGAAATCACTAAAACGAGGAAGCAAAATGTTTATATTGTGCATGTGCATTTTTTTGGCTGATACAATATGTATACAATATGCTGGGAATAAAACTGAGGTGTATAAAATGAGTTCAAAGTGACCAACCTGCATTCATGATCTTCTTGGGCTTGCTGAGGGCAGACATGGAGGGGTTTGGAACTGGCATTGTGTCCTGGCCCTGTCGCGCCTCCACTGGGTCATACTCTTTCCCATCATAGTTGGCGTCAAAGAACTTTTTAAACCACTGAACATACTCGAAATTGTCCTGAAATTTGCCCTTCACCAATTTGTCAACTGGGATAATCTGATGGAGAAAACATCCAAATATAAATACATGGATTTACCATTCATATTTTTAAAAAAAAAAGCATAAACAGAAGAATACCACCATATATGAAGAATTGTGTTACTTGCCCTGCTAGACAAATATCAAAATCTTCTCTTTTTTGACAACATTGTTGTAAAGCGCAAAACTTATAATTTAGGATTTATTCACTCTTATCTTTAAACCTTTTTTGAAACACATTTGTATGGATAAACTTCTGTTTTGCTCAACTTGCATGTATGGATAAACTCAAGGACAAAAAAGTTCCGCAACTCACCTTATCAACTCCCATCTTCTTAAAGGCAGCTTGCAATATCTTAAAATTGTGAATGTATTCATGCTCTAACTTTGCCCCAAATTTAACTTTCTTCAAAGGTATGCAGCCTGGGAACAGCATGTCCATGAACTGGCAGTAGGCTGCACCTATAGGGAAAGATAATAGAATACAAAGAGATCAATTAAAAGACATCATTTTACAGGAAGAGAAAGTTATTTGTTCATCGTTTTTTTTATTCACAGGACACGGTAGTGGATTTAAAAATATCTGACGTGTGTAAAGGTCTTTGGACACAAAAGTCCAAAATTTCCGTATGGGTTTTTCACGTTTGGAACCAAAACATTCATCACACAAAGACAAAGTAACCTTGCACACAGTCTGATAAATAGTCTAGGGGGCATGGGGGGGGGGGGGGGGGGGTTAAATATCCAGCGGGAAAAATAAGTATTATTGAACATGTCATGTTTTATTCCTGGGAAAATTATTATTAAAGCCGTTGACATGGAATTGAACCAGATTTTGGTAAAAACCCAAACAATACAAACATAAAATATGACAAAACAAAAAATAACACCTGAACTAACTAATGAATTACAACTAAGAGATTTCAGCTGCTGTCTGGGCTTTCACTGCCTTTCTACACTACCCTTTCATCATGTGTTCAATACTCTTCTCAGCGCCATTTAATTTCATTATGGATTACTTAATTTGTAAGCTAATTAGATTTGTTTTCTTTATGGATTTCTTTGGTTGTTACCAACCAGTTAATAGTTCATTCCGCTGTGGCAACCCCTGATAAACTAAGGACTAAGCCGAATGAAATTAAATAAAAAAAAAAAAAAAAAGAATGAATACATCACATAACAATTAGGAGTCAAATCAAGCAGCAATGCCTTATTATTTCTCTTCAAAAAAAAAAAAAAAAAAAAAAAAAAAAAAAAAAAAAAAAAAAAAAAAAGGAATAAAGAGGAGTTCACATCATCACAGAGCAGAGCCGGGATTATCCCGAAATTCAAAGTTTAAGAAAATCAGAGGCATTTGGATACTTTGTTTACAATGTTGCAGACACATGACACACATTTCTGTAAACGCCACATTCTTTCTTTATATCACACACTTTGTCAAAAAGTGTTTTGGCTTTTGCTTGTACCCTAACCTGAATTTTTTAATGACTGACAAAAGTTTCAGTGTGTAAACATGATTGACAAAAATGTGTGGTTGAATTATTTTAACATGCAAACACTTTAGACTCAAATCTGAACTGTTAATGCATCTCTGTTGGTCATCTAATTGATACAGCATTAGCAGATTTTGTTGTAAGAGAGCTAATAAACCTGGAAGCACCACCAGCACAAATCAAATATTACAAATCTGTAATTCACCATTGTTGTTGTTACATATGAGGTTCTCCTCCTTTTTTCCAAAAGTCTTAAAGTATTATGAGAAATAAACCAAATCAACCAGCTAAACAGCAGCAAACTTTGATTTGAACAAACAGAGTGGCACAAATCTACATTCACAGTACAGCCCTATTTTAAGCAACATTCTGGTTTATACGAGTTCTATTTTTATTAATGGATTTCACTATTCTTAACTCATTCAGGGTCCTTATTTTAGTCAACGAAAAAGACAATCCCTTAACGCACTGCAAATCACATTCAATCATTAAAAAAATGAACAAAATAATAAACTATAAACCAAAAGTTCCTTTGAAAAATATATACACAAACACTGTAATATTTTGAGAGCATATTGTTACAGACTCAATAACATCATAACCAGTGCATTATGAAAAAGTCCATTGCATCCACAGCTCTTCTGGTATCGGAACATTACTACTCTAATGTATAATTAATGCAGTTTTCACAATTAACAGGGCTGTTATTATAAACAGTTACTTTTGAATATTAAAGAAAATTAAAAGTAGGCTTCAACAACGCAACATGCTATCAATTAAAAACCTCTGAACTTTAATGTTTCACTTTAAGGCTTATTAGTTATTGTTAAAAATGAAGTAAATCTAAATGAACTCAAATCATCCAGATCGTACAAAAAAAAAAAAAAAAAAAAAAACTCACCTGAACATAAAAGCTCAATCTTGGTAAAGTTCATCTGTAGAGACTCATTGATCCACGCAAGCATGTCATGACGACTCAGATTGTCGCTAGTCACTGAGGTGGAATATACGTTCACAGCCATGTCCTGAAATAAAAACGAGACATCAGGAGAAACCATGGGCTCAAGCAGACTCGTGCTGAAACTAGGGTGTAATTTAATACAGATCAATGTAACATGTGACCCTGGACCACAAAACCAGTCTCAAGTTGCAAAGATAAACGTCAGGCTATAGCCAATAAATGCATTATGTGGGTCAAAATGAGAGATTTTTCTTTTATGACAAAAACATTTGAGTATTAAGTAAAAACCACGTGACGTCCCATGAAGACATTTTAATAAATTCCGCACTATATATATATGTATGTATACACATACATATATACATACATTTAAATTATTTGGTTAGTTATGTGCATTTCTGAGAACTTTATTTTAGACATATTTTGGTAGTTTTCTTAATATTTCTTATCCCCCACCCCAGTTTTATTTTTAAATGTATGCCAAACAAATCAACTGTATAAACATTTACTTACTTTTCCAATTCCTTTTAACCTTCAGATTGTCAAATAATTGTATGTATCCCAAATACTGTCTCATCTCAACGAACCAAACACCAATGGAAAGCTTTTTTATTCATAACTCTCAAAATTGACACTAATGAGTGCTTTTGAGATCAAGTGTCACATAGTATAATAATCTAAAATAAGTCAAAATCTCAATTTTACTACAAAAGGTTATCAATAAGCACTTTGACAGTGTATAAAGGATGCAGCATTATGCACTTGATAACATGGGTGTCTCATAAGGGTGTGTACCATGAATGTTTAACCTCAGATTTAACCTCAAGATTTCTGTATTCCCTCCATAAACACAACACATAAACTCTTGCATTAAAAAACTCTTCATTCAATATACACACTGTTATCTAAGACAATTAACACTATGTAAAAACTACTGGTCTTCTAGTTAACATACTGGTTAGTGTAATGCATTTTAATGGCAGAGTCTAAAGACAGCTGAGAAGATGCTGAGGAAGAGGTTTAATAGTGCGTTGATGACAGTCCTTCTAGCTGTTATAAAACATGACAGATTACCCTATTTAGACAGCATTTTGTCCCCTAGAATTGTGTTTATTTTTTTGTTAAAACTACGCACATTTAATTCGAATGCGCATACGACGCTCTAAACGCTCTCTTGGTAGGCAGCTCGCTAGGATTTGAGACACAGCCCTGAGTCATACACCGCCTCAGCTGCTCCTCATTCAGGCCTCGCCTTCCTTTCAAGAGCCTTTAAAACATGCGTATTTGCCGATAATTACTACGAAAACTAGGCTAAAATAAATCTAGGCATTTATTCGAGCAACAAAGGCAAGCCTCGTCCTCCTCCGGACCGACGAAATACAAGACAAGCCCAGCAAATTCTTTTGTCCCATAAAACATCAGCAGCAGCATCAGCTTCCGTTAGCGGCCGGGGCTAACCGTTCATTTCAGCGCACTCGTTTAAAACAGACCGTCTTCGGTGTGTTTATAACGCTTTAACTACAATGTCATTAAATAACCCGCGTCTCTATATCGTCGATTCAGGACATAAAATAAGAAGTGGTAAACGTGTAACGGTATTTGAAAACGTCTTAGACGAGTTTTACCTCTTGTTCGCCGGCGCCTCTTTCTCTCAGATCATGCGTCGGTTTGTTCTTTGGCTGCTTGACGTCATCGCGTAGAGCTACGCAGGGAACGTATTGTGCAAAACATATATGGCAAATTAAGAGTCTTTCCTGGTCGTTGCTTATGCTCATCCTTCAAAACTTTATACCAAAATATGTCAAAACCTTGCGAAAAATAAATAAATAAACTTGCAAAAATGAGGAAGGAGAACTCATTTCTAATAACTGATTCATTTTATCTTTGCATTGATGACAGTAAATAATATTTGACTAGATATTTTTCAAGACTTCTATACAGCTTAAAGTGACATTTAAAGGCTTAACTCGGTTAATTGAGAGGGTGCTCGCTGCAGAGCCATTTGAGGAGAGGTGAGCTCCAGAGAGGGGGAGCATGAGCTGTCGCTCCTCCTCCTGTAAGCTGTTTTAATGCGTACACCAACCCCACCCCTAACCCTACCCCCAGTGACTTCACTCGTAGAAGAAGTGCAAAAAAGGTGGAGCTCAAGCTTAAGCTCCCCCTCTCTGGAGCTCACCTCTCCTCAAATGGCTCTGCAGCGAGCACCACTTGGGTTAATTAGGTTAACCAGGCAGGTTAGGGTAATTAGGCAAGTTATTGTATAACGATGGTCTGTTCTGTAGACTATCGAAACAAAACATAGCTTAGAGGGGCTAATAATTTTGACCTTAAAAAGGGTTTTAAAAATTTAAAAACTGCTTTTAATCTGGTCGAAATAAAACAAATATTTTCTCCAGAAAAAAAATATCAGACATACCAAGAAAATTTCCTTGCTCTTTTAAACATTATTTGGGAAATATTTAAAATAGAAAACAAATTCAAAGGGGGTTTAATAATTCTGATTTCAACTGTTAAACCTGGTCTCTGGCTGGCCTGTGTCGCACTCTGCAGCAACAGGTGTTCCTCCATGGCTGTCGGACCTATTCTTTGCAAATATTAAATTTTCTATTGGAAGTAAACCTTGTAAGACTTTGTCTCCTGATCACTACGAATATGAATTATTGTCCACATGAATATAATTTTTTGGTTTCATGTTTGAGCCTCTAAATAAAACTGATATTACAAATGATGTTTTAATTTTTAATAAATAAAATTGAATATAGGGCAGCATAGGTAGCATGTTGCCTCACAGCAAGAAGGTCACTGGTTCGAGCCCCGGCTGGGTAAGTTGGCATTTCTGTGTGGAGTTTGCATGTTCTCCGCCGTGTTCGCGTAGGTTACCCCCACAGTCCAAAGACATGCGCTAAAGGTGAATTGAATAAGCTAAATTGTCCATAGTAAATGTGTGTGAATGGGTTGCAGCTGGAAGGGCGTAAAACATATGCTAGATAAGTTGTCGGTTCATTACGCTGTGGCGACCCCAGATTGATAATGGGACTAAGCTGAAAAGAAAATGCCTAAATTAATGAATTTTCTATGTTTTATTAAACAACTTAAAAGCCACAAAGGCCTGATGGATGTCAACATTCATTCATTCATTTTCTTGTCGGCTTAGTCCCTTTATTAATCCAGGGTTGCCACAGCGGAATGAACCTCCAACTTATCCAGCAAGTTTTTACGCAGCGGATGCCCTTTCAGCTGCAACCCATCTCTGGGAAACATCCACACACACATACACTACGGACAATTTAGCCTAACCAATTCACCTGTACCGCATGTCTTTGGACTGTGGGGGTCCTTTGGAGCACCCGGAGGAAACCCACGCGAAGCCAGGGAGAACATGCAAACTCCACACAGAAACGCCAACTGAGCCAAGATTCGAACCAGCGACCTTCTTGCTGTGAGGCGACAGCACTACCTACTGCGCCACTACCTCGCCCGGATGTCAACATAGATTTTTTAAATCCTAATTTACATTTACATTTAGCAGACGCTTTTATCCAAAGCGACTTACAAATGAGGACAAGGAAGCAATTTACACAACTATAAGAGCAACAATGAATAAGTGCTGTAGGCAAGTTTCAGGTGTAAAGTCTAAGAAGGAAAGCATTAGTAATGTAAGATTTATTTATTTATTTGTTTTTTGAGTACAGTTAGTGGTATAACGACCCTGTTTAATTAGAAAATGCAGAAAGAACAGACAATGCATGAAACGCCAAAGGTTTGCCTCATGAAGACTTTATTTTTTCATACAGATATCATCTCTGCTTATTCTTTTGTATTTACAGTATGTAAACAAGAGAGTCCACAAGACAAGAGGAAAAAAGAAACATGCCCACAATAAGTAAAATCTTTTCCTTTACTCCTCTAGATTTTTGCTCCTTTTGTTTCTTCATGAAGAAACCTTTCATGGGTGAAAGACATTAAAGATATACATCCTTGAATCTTTCCAAGAAACGTAGTGACAATCCATTAGAAATCACAATCATACTCCCAACGTTTTTGACCTTGTACAAACACGCTCTGTTTAACATTTACCTTTGTATGAAATAAACTCGCTCTTCCCGAGGCACTTCTAAGTGCATCTTTCACATAAAGAGAAAAAAATGATATCAATCAAACACATTTGTCGACGTTTACAAAAGCTGATATGTATAAAAAAAAAGGACAACAGTTTTACAGTTGCATAATGTATATCAAAGGGTGCGTCTTTGTACTAAACAAGTCACAAATTCAAATACGAAATGTACGTGGAAATGACTCAAACTTTTATAGGCGTTATCCTAATGTGGAGTTTGATGTAGTGAACAGAAAGTGAACATGATACAGTCTGTCTGAAATGAGTCAAGGTCCTTTGGTGTTCACATCTGACTCTCTTTGAATGGCACCGTTCTGAAGATAAAAAATAACAACATCTTGAGCTCGGGTTATGAGACCGCAACCGAGGAGCTGCTTTTAGTGTTGTCTGTGGAAGGGGAAGGTCCTCGGTTTGCGGGCGATGTTTTTTCGGCAGATGGTGGTGGTTGGGTTTTTGGGGACTGTCCTACAGGTTTTCCGGCTGCATCTGAACTGGCTTCTGCTTCAGTTTCCTGCTGAGACGATGTGGCTGAGGAGATAACAGAGGAAATCATCCATTTAGACAATGGCTTTTTCCCCTTATTTGTAAGATTTTTATTCTCTAAAAGTGTGTTTTAGAGCAGTTGATATTATCTAAGAGTGTGTGCAGCAAACATGCCAGCAAACATGGTATGTCTGTGTGTAAGATGAATACCCCTGCACAGGAGCAACATTATGAGATTATTAATATGTAGAATAACTGAAAATGTAAAGCACTGATTATATATGTTAAACATGCATATGAAGGTATATGTGTCAGAAGTATTCAGGAAAATAACATATTATCAAGTTATTATGCCATCATGACAATGTACAGTTGAAACAAGAAGTTTACAAACACTCTAAAAAAGGAACATAACCATTTTTTTTTTTAAATCTGATGGTAAATCATACTAAACGTTTGCTATTTTAGGTCCGTTAGGATTACCTAAATTACTTACATTTGCTAAATGCCAGAATAATGAGAGAAATTTTTTTTTTGAGAATTTTTTTATATATTTGTAGACAGTCAACAGTTTACATACATTTTCTTGGTATTTTTTTTAGCTTTGCTTTTAAACTGTATAACTTTGGTCAAATGTTTTGGGTATCCTTCCACAAGTTTTTCACAATAGTTTGAAGGAATTTTGGCCCATTCCTCCTGACAGAATTGCAGTAACTGAATCAGATTTGTAGGCTGTCTTGCTAGCACAAGCTTTTTCAACTCTGCCCACAAATTTTCTATAGAATTGAGATCAGGGCTTTGTGATGGCCACTCCAAAACATTCACTCTGTTGTCCTTAAAGCACATTTTAACTATTTTGGCAGAATGCTTAGGGTCATGCTCTTTTTGGAAGACCCATTTGTGGCCAAGTTTTAATTTCCTGGCTGATGTCGTGAGATGTTGCTTCAGTATTTCTACATAACGTAATTTCTTCATGAAGCCACCTATGCTGTGAAGTGGACCAGTCTCTCCTGCAGCAAAACAGCCCCACAACATGATGCTGCCGCCCCCATACTTCACAGTTGGGATGGTGTTTCTAGGCTTGTAAGCTTTCCCTGTTATCCTCTAAATGTAACACTGGTCATTATGGCCAAACAGTTCAATTTTAGTTTCATCAGACCACAGGACGTCTCCAAAAATCTTGTTCCCAGTAAATTTAGCAAATTGTAATCTGGCTTTTTTTTTTTTTTTTGATTCTGGTTTGTTGATTTTCCCATGTTGTCACACAAGGAAGCAGTGTGTTTGAGGTTTTCCTTTAATACTATTTTACAGTTGTGCCTCCAATAAACTGAAATGTTTTCAATTAGCCAATCAGAAACTTCCAAAACCTTGACACCATCATCTGAACTTTTTCAGAGGCATTATAATCTTATTGTTTTTTTTAAACTTGACTTTCAAGAAAAGTTATAACAATTTCTCCAAAATGATCTCTCTTATTAATCTGCTTTTAAGCATAATAGAAACAAATTTGATAATCCAAACTTACCTAAAAGAGAACAAGTTTAGTCACATTAACATCTGCATTTTTATACAGTGTATGTAAACTTCTGGTTTCAACTGTATGTAAACACTTAGTTCTTTTGCATAAGTTGCATCTATGAAGTGATGTCAAAACCGTTGCTTACATAGGACAGAGCAAGCTGGCAGAGAGCCAAAAATATAACTGATGGTGGTGTGGAGAGATTATGAAGCGCTTTGGGTGTATTTGGCCATACACAATTAATGTGCTATATAAATACACATTACATTACATAACAGAGACATGACACAGGATCATATATGTGTGGACCAAGACGCACAAAGGTGAAACTGCATGTATAAAAGCAGGATGATGGTGGTAAAACACTTTGGATTGTCTGGGGGAGACATTTATTATGAATACAGTCTATTTTCTGGTATCCAAAACCTCCAGTCTGATAATGTCTTATTGAGGAAAAGGTCGGCAACTACAACAGTAACCCATTTATTATCTTCTCAAATGACATTACACTTTCATCAGATGCTCGCCAGATATTATATATCTGAAAATGTCACATTCAGCTATAAATAATTAAATATGTGCTTGCATAGACGTATATTGTGTGCAAAAGAAAGCAGAAAATCAATTAATTAA